TCCTCTGTCTTCTTTTATTTTATTAATTCTTTTGCTGTTTGCGTGCCTGATGTCTGCGGATTTTATATTCTTCATGTGATTTTTTCTCATTGCTCTTGCTGTCTGGATCTCCCCGGTCTGCATGCCTCTCCACGTCTCGACTCACACAGATAGCTTGTCCCAAAGGATCCCATCAGTTGTCAGTAATCAAGGAAATAACTCTCAAAGAACCACAAGCGCGCCACTTAGCTGATGTCTGGTGTGGTTTGATCTGACCGAGTCAGACGGCGAAGAAAGTTCTCCGCGTCCAGCTTTCCTCGACTATTTTTAGTCTAATTAGTCGTCATGTGGAGCTGCTAAAGAGACCCGGCGTGTTTCACGGTGTGGACGGGGAGGGAGACAGAAAGTGGGAGGAAGGCAGAAAATCCCGGCTTTCTTCATTAGCATTCCATTCAAACGGCTCAATAGAGCAGTTGTCACTCACGGGATTCCCGGGCCTCCAGGAAGCTCTGCTTGTGTTCAATTTATTCACATAAAGGCTCATCATTAAGAGACGGTAGTGAGTGTGACATGTTGTCTCGGGAGGTCTTCATGTGGAAAAATCCGCAGCAGAGGTCGTCGTCGTCTCGTGGGAGGGTTACGGCGACGTGCCAACCGATCGGGCGGCTTTGAAGGTTCGCTGAAGAGATGAGGAGGATGCCAGTTCTGTGAAGGGACTGCACACCACGATCATTATGCTGGCTGATTCATTTCTAAATATTTGTCCAATTCGTCAACAGTTATTTGGACTCTTTTCCACTTTCTGTGAGTAAACGCTCTGTCCTCGGGTAACGCTGCATGTCTTCACCGTAAGTCTGCACACCGGCAACAATGCACAAATTTCTGTGCTAAATTCAAACGACGCATGAAATGTGAAGAAACTTGGTCTTATTTGATCAGCTTTAATTATAAACTTGAAATTAATTATTATTATTGCTCTTCATTAAACTCTTCAGCTGCAAGTTTTGTGATTTGTGAATAATTTTATTGGGGTTGCAGACCTCTTTTGATTGTATCAATCAACAATGAATGCACATTCTTATGTCAACTGTGTCACGAACCATAAACTGAACTTTAAAGATTCTTTTTTTCTTTATTATGGTTTTAAGATAATTTTATTTATATAGCACATTTTTCAGCAACAAGGCAGTTCAAAGTGCTTTACATGAATTAGAAGGAAACAAAACAACAAAATGATTAAATGTTGGTTTTTATGTGACTAATTAACCACTAAATATTTACGGTTTTAGGTCGGCGTTGATGGAAGGTAGACTAGATAGAGTTTTACCTCTACCAAATGATGTGATGCGCAGTGCCGATGCAGTTTTTCCCTTTACCTGTTTAGAGTTAGCGAACCGTTCTTTACACTCCAGAGGCTCGTGCATTTCAACCATGGAAACTTTGTTTGGCCCTGTGAGTCGGCGTCCGGCTTCCTGACAGACGCTGAAGACGATGCCATCCCACGACTTCCTGTAGATTTTTATAGTTCCTAAAAAGCAATTATCACTTGTGTTTTTCAGTTGACATGACCATTTATTCTGACTTACGGTTTCACACAGTGAGTCTAGTATGGGACGTCAACATGCTCCAGGCTTTCCATCTTGGCAATTTCACAAGGAAAGCAACTTGCAAGATGTAGCTTTTTGCCAATATTCTCCAATTTTGAAGATTGCCTCACTTTGTTGTTGTTTTTTTTTTTTTTTTTGTTCTGGCTTTGAGCAACTCCTCGGCAAGTTTGCGTCATTTCACCGACGTGGCAGAGTAATTCTCACACACATCTTTTTGCTCCCCCTTACGTCTCTGTTATTCGAGCTGAATACACTAATGATAAGGGGAGTGGAGGGCAAAAAGAACGATCACATCGGGGGTTATTATTTATTCCATAATTACATCCTGGTTTGATTGACAGAAAGTGAACGATAAATACAATTAAGGCCTCCGATGTGGTGACGGAGCTCGCCGTCCACGCAGAGCAGCGGTCGACGGGGGTTACGCAATCCCCGTGCATCACCTGCAGAGCCCACAAATGGACCACGTGTGACGCGAGCTCGGGGTGGAAACGAAAATTGCGCCAGTGAAAGCGGCTGCGGAGTGCCTCGCTCTGGGTGCGGGGGAGCCACATTGGAAATTAAGAGAGTGGCGGGGGTAGGAGGGAGTATCATGTTCAAACAGTGAAATGTTTTATGCAGCAGCCTCTGTCACCGCTGAACGGATGAAGTAATTTCATTTTCATGGATGATCTGCGACGCCACAGACCAGCAAAATTGCATAGGAGGGAAAGAGAAAGATAGCGCTGGAGGGCAAGAAGAAAAAAAAGCAGTCAAACATATCTTTTTTCTCTCTTCATTGGATTCTTTGATTATTTCCTCGTGGTAGTAACCATAGTGATGATTTACAGCTGGCAGAAAATAAAACTGCTGGGTGGAGTGGCCAACCGAGAGGGATGTTGAACAAATATGAGTCCGTATATTTTCAGGAGGAAACGGGAAGATAGAGACCTGAATTTGGAGCTGGACTTTGACTAGGCATTTCTAAGACATTAAAGCATGTCATTGGATTAACATGAATCCCAATGGATGGTATCAACATGAAGACAGTGTCACCACAGGATGATTCTTCTACCACCGTGTTGTGTCAAAAAGGTTCATCGGACACTTTTGGACGGTTACCATTTGTTTAATAAAGCGGCTGTGCTATAATGAAATTAAACTCGAGCCAAACTGGCTGTTTTCCAGCTCAACTCAAGTATGAAATTAACTTATACGTTTTTAAATGGGTCTTGGTGTTCCCATTTGTTTCCAGAAAGAAGAAAGTAAATAAATCTTCATTGCTAAATGTGAAGTTCTGCCTTTTGTTTCTCTGACCTAAACTCTATGCATCAGCTTTGAGTAAAAGTTCTGCTTCTGCTGTCATATCGTCTTCCTTCCCCTCCAAACAAATGAACCCCTTCACCTTCAAGCTTTTATTCTTTTATCGGGATTGCAATAAAGAAGCTCTAAGGGCCAGCGGTCTTTGTAAACCAACTTACAAACGACTTCATTTCCCCCCCTGCCCGACTTTTCCAAAGTGATGCCAGGTTAATGTCGCCGTTCTGCTGAGTGGAAAGGCAGAATCCTTGAAAATCTCACCAAAAATCCATACCACAGGAAGAAACGCTGTAGGCCCATCCCACTGTTTCTTCTTCCAAGTCTGCAAGACGGCACAAAAAAAAAGATATTTTCATTGACAGATCAACAATAATAATGAAACCTCCTTAAAGCAACATGTGTGTCTCATATAAACATCATATTTAGGATGAGTTTGAAAACTCGCTTGGGGCTGTTAAAGGTGGAGCTGGCATTCTGAGTTATTGAGTTGAGTCAGTGAACAATAAGCATATATACATATATAATATATAATCCAGTAAGGTCACTGAGGTTCAGTGGCCCACTAACAGTCTGGACCTGTTTCCATCCACAGAGACTGCTCAATCTTTTATTCTCACCTTTAGGCTATAAGATTAAAGTGTTGACATTTAGGAAAGATTGCGGCGCAAATATAATCACAATGCATCTATCAAAATGCCCACATACTCCTGGTTTTTATTCAAACTCTGGCTTTATGTTGGCATTTGTTTGTTGTTGTTTTTGACAGTTTTACCTTACAAAAGTATTAAATAAACATTTTCACCTTCTGTCATGTCATAACCACAACCTTCAAGGTTTTTCCTCTGAATTTTATTGGATCTTCTACAATGGTTCTTTATATGTCTGGCTGAGATAATAATAACAAACTAAGGTTTTTAAGTATGGATAAATATTTAGTTGGGATTTGAGTTTTGTCAATTTCTGTGTACCTCAGTTCCTTTTCTTTTATTAGTCATGTTTCTGCTTTTCTCTAGTTCAGTCCTTTCTTAGTCCGTCTGGTTTATAACATTTACTTTTTGTGTCTGGTTAATTTTAGTTTAATTATGTTTAAACTGCTTGTACTCTCTCTCTCTCCTTTGCTCATCAGCCCAGGCCCTCTGTTCAGCATTCTGACTTTTTGCACGGGAGTTGCAATAGAAATTTCGTTGAATCCTGTTCAATGACAATAAAAATGCTATTCTATTCTATTCTACCTCCCCAGTATTTAAGCGCCTCATTCTCAGTCACTCCTTGCTGGCTGCTTTCATTACTTCCTAGTTCCACTCTGCTCCCCTCGTGTTTCTGCATGTTTTTGCTTTCTTGGATTCTGTTTGTTGTCCATCATTTCTTCATTAGAAAACTTTCTCATCATCTACTCTGCCTTTCCGCTATTCTGCATTTGGGTCTTTCATCAAAACATGACAAACACATGATCTTTCATTTATGTTGGATAAAGAAGACGATGTATCTACATCCTTATTGCAAACGTCATTTTATTTAAATTTTATTTTATTTTTCTAAGTATAGAAATAACACGTTGACTCATTTATAAATGGCAAATCAAATTATAATTTTTTTGGCTGCATTGAGGGTGAAAAGAGATTTTGGACTGTGAAGGCTGCAGATCCCTGGGGTAGACCAACAAATATTTTTTACAAATAGTAAAACAGCCTGGTAAATTTTAAATGACCTTGTAAATTTTCTGACACGTTTGCACGCAGGCTCAAAACTAAAACTCTGATTTCAGCTGACCATGGCGACACTCTTTCCTATTCATCAGTATATTTCAAACATCTTCTTGGAGTTTACTTCTACTTTACGATTATGCCTCACTTTATGTTGAACTTTTACAGAGAATGTCAAACACATTGGCTTTTTTTTTTCACATTATAGTGAAACAGACTGTGAAAAAGATCAAGGGATAAGACTTCTGCTGCAAAGCCCTGCATGTCAAAAATCTCCTGCCTGAATGTTTTTCTCTTTTTGTTTTCACTTTTTCTTGTAATCGCAAAGTGCAGGAAAAGTCTGAAAAGCGAGGGGGACTAAAGAACAGATTTTCCTCTCTGCTGAACTTGTTTTGTCTGAATCTCCCCGCAGATCCGCTCGGATCAGGATAAGGACGTCGGCATCCGCTACAGCATCACGGGCGCCGGCGCCGATCAGCCTCCGAGCGGAATCTACAACATAGACCCCATCAGCGGCAACATGTTCGTCACCCAGCCCCTGGACCGCGAGGAGAGAGCCTCCTTTCACGTAAGGAACAACCATCTTGTCCGCTTCTGTTACCACTCCATCCCCAATTACGTCTGCCTCGTTATTTCCTGCCTCGGCTTTCTGCCGTCTCCTCCTCCTTTTATCCTGATGCCGCCGTTCGGGGGTGAGGGGGTTCAGGGGATGACAGAGGGGAAGGGGGTGGGCGCCTCTTCTGCGCCTTCAAATCAGCTTCTCCAAACTTTAATGATCTTGAAGTCGACGATGAAAAAGGAAGAATGCTGTGACAAAACACACACTGACACTCAAGCCGGCGTTTTCTCTGTAGATTGAGCAGCGAGGGACGGGCGGGGAATTGAGACAAACGGAGACGGCGAAGGTGGCGTGAAGGCAAACTGTTTTTGTTCCTACCATCGGCACTAATGAGCAGATGCAGCTTCAGATGGGTGTTTGTGTCTGTGTGGGTGTGTGTGTATGGCCTGCAGATTGATAAATGTTTGTTTACGCCTTTCAGGAAGCCCAGGTCTTCTTCCCTGACTGACTGTGTTCCTCCTGCTCTTCTTCTGTGCATTGCAGAGTCTCTCATTACCTAATGCACCCAGAGCACGCTGATCAACGGGGCACCATGACAGCTGCACAGGCAGCTTCCATGTAGGATTTACAACACACAGAGGAAGCTGCAGGGTTAAAATCCTGACAGTCTTTCACTCTCTCTCTCTCTAAAATGGCTTTCGTAGATGTTGGAATTAAATAATCAGACCACTTCAGACATGCGTTAGGGTTCATCCGTCGTCGTCTGCATTAGAGGTTACAGTTTACATCAGCCATTAGCCAACACCTGCACTTGAGGTGAGCTCCGGCGTCGGGTCTTGGCGGTCAACGTGATAGATGGCAGTGCTGCTGCTGCTGCTGGAGCTAAGTTCAAGTCTCTCTGTTTGGGGCCGGGGCTGAACAGAGGAAGCCGAGAAGCGTGTTGACCCAAGAAACTGACACTGTAGCTCACAGAGGTTGACACAAGCCCTGGTCAAATTCCTGGTTTTTGTCACATAGTAAACATGTCCTGACATGTATCAAGATACATATCAGTTCACCAAGTTAAAAACACATCTGTTAGGAGGACATGTAAAAACATCTTAGAAGGTTGCGATGATCTGGTTGTGTTCCTGTGCACACCCTGTATTCTTTCTTTATTTATTTATTTCAATTTCAAGTGTTTCAGGAGACAAAACTTCCAGCAAATATTGGTAAACTAACTCTATGTGTGTCTGGTGTGATAAATAGAAGAGCGAAGTAGTTGACCTGGTGACCAAAACAGAAAACTCACCACAAACCACGAATCGTTTAACATTTCTGTTCCACTTTGTGTTAGTCTGTTAGATAAAGATCTTTCTCCAGGCTGCGGTTCTAACGTGACAACATGTGGGAACCTTAAAAACACACAAATACGTTTTTGCACCCAACGCAGTCATTTGCTATGTTCTGGACTCTGCATGTTTGTTCTCTGAGTATTCCTGCTTCTGCGCAAATTGGGCAAATTGGGATCAATAAAGCAGGTGGATTTGTCTGTCGGTCCCCCGGAAAAGTGCAGCAGCTCCGAAAACACTTCCTGTTTGACGCAGCCCAGAGTGGAAACAGCATGTTTGGCACTTCAGCTCGAATGCACCTCCTATTTAAACTGCGGGGTCCCATGCTGCTTTTGATGTGATGTGATGCATGAGTGTGTGTGTGTGTTTGTGCATGTGCGTGTGTATGCGCGTGTGTGTGTGTGTGTGTGTGTGTGTGTGTGTGTGTGTGTGTGTGTGTGTGTGTGTGTGTGTGTGTGTGTGTGTGTGTGTGTGTGTGTGTGTGTGTGAGAGAGAGAGAATGTAGCCAGTGTTTGGCTCAGGGGAAATTTGGTTTATGACTTACTTTCTTCCAAACTTGACAGGAAGTTTCCCAGTGCCGGCGATGTGCTCGCAGGCCAAACTTTGCTTGTTAGGTTTTTTTTGTTTGTTTTTTTGGTTCAAGGGGAAAAGAGAGACGCGGCTGCTGTTTTTGACAGACTGGCACCACAGGGAGGGGATCCGCTATACGTGAGCGGTGTGGGCGTTAACCGGAGTCGCAGATTTAGCCAACAGATTCAACTGTCAAGCGAAGAGGAATTTTTGTTGACTTTGAATAAAGGTAAATTCACATGAATACATAACAAATAGGAGAAATGTTATTAATTATGAGGTGTAAACCTTTACACGGAGCTACTGTCTGCTTTGACTGGCTTGTGACGTCATTGAATCACCGCGTGTAATTTGGCGTAGCTGAAGCTTTTGCAGCAGGTGTTTAACGTGCCGCTTTTAGTTTAAGAACTAAAACAGAACTGGTGCATTCAATGAACAGTTTTTTTTTTTTTTTTTTAAGTAATCAAATGAAAATACGTTGCAGAGCCGAGGCGTGACGTCAATAGACTGTTTTCGTTGGTAATGAGTCAATGAACAACAGTTTCATATTAACTCATCACAACTGGGATAAAACACCAGTGTTCCTAAGAAAGTGTCAATCTTTAAAATTGTTTTCTACTAACTTGAAATGATGGCTCTTAGATTATCAAATATGATTCTTATTGATCGTGATTCTAATCTTCATTGGGTTTCATTATTCATATTCATCTGGTCAGCAAAGTCACCTGTTATGTCTTTATGCAGGAGTGTGACAAAGGGGTTCAGTTGTATTCACCACTTGTCCCTTATTCTTATTTCTGATTAATTTACTTTCTTTAGTTGGTCATAATGATTCAACTTAAACATTACTTTGCTTCACTTACTATCCCGGGTTTGTTTGTGTTTGTATTATGTTGCAGTTTCCACCTACTTCCACCTAGATGTTTAGGTTAAAATTATTACTTCTGGATTGAATTTGTTTATTTAATTTCAAAATATATTCATGGTATTTGGTTTCCTTTTTACTCACCGTTGTTTATCCCTTGTATATTAGAGACCTTTGTCTGAGGCAAAGGTGTCACTAAAAGTCATCTGAAGAACCGAGACCGCACTATTTTACAAGGGGAACTGAAGGAAGGCGATGTTACGTCATCACGGTGGATCGGTTGTTTCTCTGCAAACTACAAGACGATCCCCCCCCCAGCGCATAAAAGTTACAAAGCCAACACTGAAATGAGAAGGAAGCGAATTACTAATTACAGAAATAATTAATATTCATGGAATTAAAGACAGACACTGAATATCAAATAATCAATGGGGGAAATACATTTATATTCATAGAAATAACTGAAAATGAATAACTTTGAATAAATATGTCCAGACGTGAATGAGTTTTGATTTTCAGCAGCCCAGTCGTTTTCCGTTTCAGTCCTTCATGGCTGGATGTCCTCGACAGATGAGAAAACACACACTGTGTCACCACTGTCACACACCCACTTAACAAAAGACGGCTAATTACAAAAGCAATCATCAATAAACGAGCAACTCCTTTATGTAAAGCCACGGAATAAACTCTGTCCAGAACATCCTGATTGTTTCCCCTAAACTTCTCAGTATGGAGCAAGTATCAATTCATTCAAAACTAATGATTCATTTTTTACATTATTTTATGTAAACTGACATTTTTTTTATGTCCTTTTGTGTATTGTCTATTGATCTTTTTTGTATCTTCCACTGCGACTATCAATGGAAATTAGCTGGAAGCAATTGATAATCTGATGCAATCAATATTTTCTGAAAATTATCCTAGTTAGGTGACTAAATCAACAAATAACCGAGTACAGTTTCCTTTTATCCTTACATCGATTGCTTGTTTTCATTTTATCATCATCATGGGATGATACAATATATTTTCTAACCATTTTCATTTAAATTGATGTCAAGGTTATGACGTTCAGGAGCACAACTACAGACCAAATCACTCCAACGTCTACAGTATGGCGGCACACATAACATGACGCATTTAGCATATATTTGCATATGTAACGGTATGCGCGCAAACTCACAGGAATAAATCCCAGGAGACAAAGATCAGCACTTGCAGAGCTGCAAACACAAAGATGAATGCAGAGCAGAGAGACGCTACAGAAAAAGCAGGAGGAGAGTCGACAAAACACACACGGAAACACAGAAACGCCTCATCTCACACGTTCAGACGCAGCGGCAGCCGCGCGTTCTCACCATGCAGCGTTCGCAGCTGAGAAAACAGATTGGCTTTGTTTGTTTGTTGGGTCCCCTCTCCCTGTTTGTTTGCTGTGCTTCAGTCAATGGAAAACTAGCATCTTGAGGATCATTAAGGGGCTAAAGAGGGCTCCTTCCATCTTCCAGAGCGCGCATTTTCGCCGGCGTCCGTGTTGATATGCGTAAAGACGTGTCTGAAGGGGCGTTCAGATGCTCGTTCGGGTGTTTTGGGAGGAGTTGCAAACATCCGTGACAGGCGGCCACAAAAAAAAAGCAAAAACAAGGTGATTAGTGGTGCTTTGGAGAGAGCAGGTGCTTGCCACTCAGTCTTTCATGTTGTCCCACAATTCATGGCGGTTTCCTGTAAATACTCTGACAGGCGGCTCCTCCTCGACTGCGTGCAGACAAAATATTTGCCTGCCAGCGTGTCGGCCTCGGCCGCAGCGGGAGCCTGCATCCGTTCAGCAAGCCAAGGTGTGACTGCATTTCTGTTGCAGGTGTGAATTTTTAAGGAAGCGACTGAGACTATGGAGAAGGGGTTTCCGCTTCCCTCATTTACAGTTTTGTTTTCCCCGTTAAAGGTGCGGTGTGTATCTTTTAAAACGAACTGGAGGCGAGACGCAGTCTGACAGGAGGGATTTGGTGTGTAGTTTTACTGCTGAACATGATGACCTTGAAATCAATTTGAAATGGTTGAAAGCAGTTCTATCATCCAATAATGTGTCTTCAAATCAATACAAGCACTTAATGTAAGGATAGAAAGAAACTGTTTCTATTTTTCCAGTTGATTAATTCACTTAACGAGGCCCATTTAGAGTTTTTTACCCATTTGTTTAAACTTTGTCAGGACAGTTTCATTTGAGATCAGACAGATAATCTGTCTCCTGCCTTTTCCCACTGCTAACTAGAAACAACCATTCAGAGCCAGGAGGCGGATCGTAGCGCTGGTAATCATGTTTGTGTATGCAGCTTTCATAACCTTTTCTTTCTGCTACGCTTCCATCAACTTTCAGGTTAGTTAGCATGGCCACCATGACGGCGGATGAACAGCTGTTTCTCCGCCGTTACCACATTTAGCGAGCGTGATTGACAGCGCTAAGACCCGCCTCATGACTCTGATTGGTTGTTTTTGACCGGGAGCGCTTCATTTCTTCAGATGGCAATAGCATCACCAGGCAGAAGGGGTGGAAAGTAATTATTTTTTCCTCAGATTATGTGCCCCATATTACCTTCAGCACAAGTTTGAACAAATGTGTAAAAAAAAAAACATTTTATCAAAGTTACTCACTGCAGCTTTAAGAAATTAAACCATCAATTAATAACCGAGTTTTGCATTGACTTGGGTGGTCTTTGTCTTTGACGAAGCCACAATAGATGTTTGATCTGAAACATCTAAGTGTGATGAAGAGGCAGAAAGCAGTAGGAGTCTGTTAATCACAGGCCGCTTGGTTCCAGGGCCATTACCGAGCTTCGTGTCGGGTCGGCAATCATTAGCAGGGATAGGTGGGGAGTTTAAAGTACGCTGCAGCAATGGTGGAAATTAAGACGCCCCACTGTAGATGATGATTGCTTTTGTCAGTGCCCCCCTGTTCCACACCTCCACACTGCCTCTTTGTGTTTCCAGCCCTCATTTACTTCCACAAGCCTTCTCTCTCCTCTCCCCTTCCCACCTGCTTCATCTTTTTCCGGCTCCACTTTTTGTCTGTCTGTCTGTCTCTTTCTTTTTCTTTTTTTTTTTTTCTTTTTATCCTCACCCTTTTTTTCCTATCTCTGTTCTCGCACTACACATTGTCAAGAAGCGGCTCATCAGACGAAGACATCCATCCAAATGGCTGGCTTTGTCAAAACAAACTGAGACAAACACTCTCCCCGAACAAAGAGAAGACGCAGCTTGAGCAGCAACACCTCTCTGATGTTTTCAGGCCTCTGGCTGTGCTAACAACAGAATAAGTGTTGTTTGTGCGTCTGGAACATTTCACTATTCCACCTGCCCCCCATCCCCTCTGTGTCGTTTGCTCCCGGTGCCAAGACACCAGCTGGATGCCACTGTGTCACCGGCACCTATGGATGTCTGCCAGTCAAAATGCAGCTGCCAATTAACAGCAGTCAAGGTTGCGTTGGTTGTTGCGCGATCACTCCAGTCCGGAGAGCCCCGGAAGAGACGCTCTGCACCAAACGCCTCACGATTCTCTTCTTCCGCTTTTTGTTTTCCAGCTGCGAGCCCACGCGGTGGACATGAACGGGAACCAGGTGGAGAACCCGATCGACCTGTACATCTACGTGATCGACATGAACGACAACAGACCCGAGTTTCAAAACCAGGTTTACAATGGCTCGGTGGCTGAAGGGTCCAAACCAGGTAAGACGGTTCGACGGCTCCGCGAATGTGGAAAACTGTGGTTCAAACAAAGTCCCGTCACCGATGAATCGGTTTGTTTCAAGCAGCCTGAGCTGTGAATTGTTAGGTCATTATTGTGGTGGACAGCTCGAGTCATTCACAGTGCGGTTCACGGTCGTACAACGATTCCTCATCGGGTCGCTAACCCTGCCGATACTTTTTGCTGCATTTCACAGTTTCGCCACAAGATGTCAGTAAATCTGAGAGCTTTCTCCTTAAGGCTGCCTCGACTACAAACTCTGAATTAGACACTTGTAAAACTTCTCACACCTACCTTTATACAGTTTGTGTTTATGTAGTGTCAAACTTCAGTGTATTTTATTGGGCTTAATCTGATTGGCCAGCAGAAAATATTCTTAATGTGGAAGGAAAATGGCACAAGTCTTTCAAAATAAAATGAAAAAAATCTGAGAAGTATAAAGCCTCAATAAGTCGGCTCGTTGTAGATCCATTTCTCTGTCTTTTGAGTCTTTTGGGGCATTTTTGCAAATGCAGACTGTAATCCTTACTGCCTCGAGTTACTCTTGATTGAATTTTGATCAGGGTTTTGACTAGGTCATTTTAATACGCACACTTGATTTTTATTTGAATAATTGCATTGCAGTTCCAGCACGTAGAAGAAAGGTATTGATTGGTATTGATCAGGAAGCCGAGCGACACTTTTATCTTATTTACCCAACTCAAACAAACTAGCTTTATCAACATGGTGCGTTCAAAAACTGAGGAAATTTAAATGATCTGGTTTTAATTTCCTGGAACCACATATTTTGTGTTTCTTGTTTTATTATTGCATTTTATTTTCTTTGTTCATTTTTCCACCGCCAAATAAGAAACGGGTTCAATTTGACCTTTGTTAGATCCCCAAAAAACAAATAACTTCTTGTTTGTTGTATTTTCTCTCTGGCTTCTGATTAAAATTCTGAAAATCCAATTACCAGAACATCAACTGATCTTTTTTGCTCAATAATTTTCTCTCACTCACTTTACACCGAGATTAAATTACATACTAATTGGTAGGAGTGTAACAATACACACATTCACACCAAAAAGATTCCATACGCACTATTGATTCACATGTACTGAATAAAGCGTCGCTTTTGTACAATAATCGATGAAAAATGCTGAGGTGCAGAACAAAAGGATTTTCACAATTGCTGTGGTTTCATTAAATAAGAAATGCAATTAAAGTCACACTCATTTAAGTTTGTACACTGAGAAAAAAAACCCACTAAAAATAATGTAAACACACGAGATATATTTACATGTTATGTAATGGAAACGGTGATCAACAGTCGCTGCGTTTCTGTTGAGCACGTAATTGCACAAATCGGAATTACGAAAATATGTTTGTTCAATGGAAACATGAATTTAAAAAAACGAAACATTTTGTAACAAAACGTGTTTGCGCTGGGATGAGGTTGTTTTCAGCTGTATCTAAAAAAATTTATTTTGCGTCACACGAGTCGGATGTTACTACTGGAGGAAAAGACGACAAAGACAACAGGAAGTGATAGGAGAATGAACTTGGATGAATTATTTATATGTGATTTTTTTTTATTATTTAATTTATTGGAAAGACTGCAATTGTGAAATCTGACTATTGGTGTCGTTTTGTGCACACTTGTTTTGGGAAGTCAAGCAAATACAAATACAAATGGAGCCAAAACAACACTTCTAATTTAAAACCAAGGTTGTTCATCATTTAGTTCATTATGTACCTTGTGTAAAAAATTACCAGTCATATTTAAGGCCACAAAGTCATTATATTGGTCAGACGCCCTTTAAATTCAGCGAGATACAAATTAAACTTTGACTAGACTTTTTCGTATATAACTCAAATGAAGCCTCAGTAAGATTGTCTCTTCAATATGCTTCCATAAAACTTTAATATTTTCAATCCAGCTGTATGTTATATGCCCGTTCTGTTTTCATTCCAGTTTGAACATAAAAAGCCAGAAAAATCCCGGATCGATCCCAGAGACAGAATCTATATGAAACGTGAACGCGTCGATGATGTTCCTGCCTTTTTATTGAGTTAATGAGAACAAAGCATATGCTCGGCGCTACACTGGTTTTACTCATGTGAGAACTCCGACTTGACTCCATCTTTAATTGTCTGAGTCAGACGGAGCCATGAAGCACCTTTAAATGCCAGAAAGTAATAATTTAATATTAAAACCATTGAAATTAACGCATGAAAAAATAATCACTCCGACTAACACTTCTGTGTGGTTTCAAGCTGTTCTCTGCCGAGGATTACTAATGCAATAATCCATCTGGAGCCGACTTTAGACTGATTTATGAGTTGCTAAAAGGTTTTAATGGATTAGTTATATTTAATTAATACCACGGATTGCAGGGAGAAAAAGTTGCTTTAATGCTTGAACTCTTGTTGCTCAAGGATTCCCGCCCGCCATGGGGCCCCTCCACCGCCCAACTCCGCAGGACGAATGCGATCGCGTCGTCCCCTCGGAAAGCCTCGCGCGAGGATTTCTGCGACGTTGCGGCTCCTCCCTCAGAGTTGGGGGGACGAGAGACGTTTCTGCGGTCAGCGGCGAGACCTGGGAGACGTGAGCGGAATACGCTCGAGTGTTTCTCACGTCTCGACAGAGGAAAAGAGCCCTGGTTCTAACAATCAGACCCCTCCTGCACCCCCATGTTTATCTTCGTAGCGATCAGATATTGTTCTGCTGCAAAGTTTAATCTCGGGGGGATTTGTAAACAATATAGGCAGGCGTGTTGTGGATGTGCGAGCAACGGATGAGCAAGTGTGCGGTTGAGTGTGCTTGTCTACCACCCAGCGGAGCGTGGGTCTATCTACAGAGCTCCTAATTAGCGGGGCCAACCACACATCCCAGAAGCTCCTTCCTTTTGTTTTCCAATCGGGGCTCTCTGCGTGCCTTAAGAAACACGAGAGCAGACGACAAAAGGAGTTTTGTATGGAGCAGAGTGAAATCGGCGGCTCTTATTAGCGAGAAACCCGCTATGAGTGGAGTAATTGCTCTTCCCTTTCATTGAGCAGCCTCTCCCATGTACTATTTGTTTGCGGAGCTTCGCTTTGTTTGGTGTTGTAAGTGCGGTGTCAAAAAGAGAATAGCATAAGTGAGGAGTTCAGCCCTTTTTATTTATTTGTTTTTACACGGCCATTGTTCCCTGAAAATGCTGAATTTTAATTAAAGGAAGAAAGAAAAAGACAACGCGTTTGCCTAATTGCCTTCTGAGCTGAAGAAAACTAGAAGCGATTGTGATTCGTCTCCAGTGGAGTCTCAAGGAGGCGCACCTTTATTTTATTTATTTATTTTTTCCAGGCTGTTTGATCCTTTAATCTGTCCCCTGCCAGTTAAAGATTTTACTCACCATAAACGTGCCTGGTTTATACCTGGAGTTAATTGCCTCAGATTTACGCCGAAGCTGGTTTTCATATCCTCAGGCTCTGATTCATTCCCTGCAGTCAAAGAACCCGGCCACATCTGAGATACAAGCCAAAGTACATTAATAATTTTAGATATGACTTTGACTTGTCTGTTTTTTTTAAACTCTTCCTTGCTTGTAAGAGAATTGAATCCACATCTACGCCGTTGGAAAAATCCAACAAAGAAGACTGGAAGATTGTGAGACTTCCTGAGGTTTAAGGGTTCGGCTCTGTTTGGTAGAAAGCCCGGTTCTTTTGGGAAGTTGTTGAACTCTGACATGGATGGAAAAAACAAACAAGGGGAAGTGAACTCTGGCAGCGTCGAACCGTATGTGGATGCCAAGCAGACTGGACACTGATCCAGAAGAAGGACGCTAACTACAGTGCAGGGAATTCTGGGTAAATGCAACCAAAACACGAGAGCCTGACGCTAGCGGGACAAATGCCTCATGGTCTTTTATCAAAAAACGAAAACTTTAATCTTCTAAAATAACACAAGAGCTACATATAATGAAGCTGTGACCAAACAAAGGATCAGATTTTATTTTTGCTCCTCGTGTTTCGACGCAACAGAAGTTTTATGACTTTCCTCCTCGTGTTTAAGGTGATTAATTGCGTGAACGACAACAAATAACTAAAAAGATAATTTCTCTTTTACTGTATATAAATGCCACTCACACTGAACATGTGTATCGATTTCATCATCTAAAGACCCAGAGACCAAAGGTTCTGTACAGCGTTACGACTCGTTCTCGTATCCAGCACCGTCAGAACGCCATCAAAGGGGAAGCGTCCGGCGGATCGCGCTTATCGACACGACCAGATGCTCCACAGGCAGCGATTCGATCACACCATCAGGACGGACCGGTTTGAAACCGCCCCATTTGGCATTTCCTGCCACCGGACCCGCCTACCCCCTGCTGAGCAACAAATAAACTTGACTAATAAAAATCAGGTTTTCACTGCGTTTAGAACTTAGCTGCTAATGAGGGATAAATGAAATCTGTGACTAAAACTAAGAGGATTAGCTTTGTGAACACAAGAAGATAAAGAACCAGGAGTGCTGGTCTGCCGTTAACGTTAACGGGTCACAACGAACAAATACTAACACACAGCTGGAACATGCTTGCACACTCTGTGAGATTCGGTGCTCTGCCGCACCGGGTCACCGAAACGAGTCTTTGAAATCGCGTGACGTGGCCTTAGATACAGATCTGTATGGACGGCGTGACTTCTTTCAAGATAATGGTGCGTTTGAGCGCTGAACATCTGTTCTGTCGCTCTAACCTCCCACTTCTAACTCGAGTCTGAGAGACGGTTGGAGCATCTCTCTCAAAAATAAGAGCAGCAGATCAAAAACCAGCAGCTCCCGCCGGATTCCCAAGAGGGGGTTCAGAGGGAGTGCATCTCTGCTTCTCTCTGCCGACACTTCCAGTGAGATTTAGCGGACTTTTTTATCTCAGCCTGGCCTGGGGGGAAGGGTTAATTAAAGGCTGCATTCGGCGCGGAGAGGCAAAGTGAAAACAGCAGACGTGGAAGCACCAGGGTG